GCGCGAAATTTGTGCACAGGTGTGTGTGTGTGTGTGTGTGTGTGTGTGTGTGTGTGTGTGTGTGTCTCAGCCCAGCCTGCAATCTGGGATCCCTCTCCAATCTGGGATCCCTCTCACAATCCAGGACTGCTGGCTCCCAACCCCTCGCCTCCCTGCCTGCCTGATCGCCCCTAACCGCTTCTGCCTGCCAGCTTGATCACCCCCTAACCACTCCTCTGCCAGCGTGATTGACACCTAACTACTCCCCTGCCAGCTTGATTGCCCCCAACTTCCCTCCCCTGCCAGCCCAATCCACCAACTGCCCTCCCCTGCTGGCCTGATCACCCCCCAACTGCCCTCCCCTGCTGGCCTGATCTCATCTCCAACTGATCTTCCCTGCCGGCCTGATTGCCCCTAACTGCCCTCCCCTACAGGCCTGATCTCACCCCCAACTGCCCTCCTCTGCCAGCCAATTTGGTTCTCATTGGTTGGTTTATATGTCAGTCAGTGTTAAGAGCTCTGCCTCCTAGGTAGCCATTGGCTCCTCACACTTCACCCAGATTTGGTTCTGATTGGTCGGTTTCTATGCCAGTCAGCATCTCTGGGCCTATCAACGGGGCCTGATCAAAAAAGTGGGGCTGATCAGCAGCCCCCATGGAGACCTGGAGAGAAATGGAGGTGCGGCTGCTGGCCAGGCTCGGAGCAAAAGAGAGAGGCAAGTGCTGATCAACAACTGCCACAGAGGCTACGGATCAGACACTTCTTCTCTCTTCAGGCTTCTCTCCAGGCCTATTTTGTAGCCCCTTCAGCAGTCAGTGCTGCGTCACTGTGCCTGCAGGCACAGCAGTCTGTGCTAGGTCACCACAGCAACCCAGCACTGAGTGTAGGACTGACTTCTGGTTGGTCCGCAACCCAGCACTGAGTGTAGGACTGACTTCTGGTTGGTCGAGCCTCTGGTTGTTGTGGATGTGATGGACCCAGGGTTTTTATATATTAGGATAGTGACCCAGCGCGCAAAATCACGCGAGACCCAGACGTGTGGGAAATCGTGTGAGACCCGGGACCCCAGACCTCACCATGCCGCTATGGGGTCCCTCGGCCTAGCCTGCAGGACCGGGCTGAAACCTGCTCTCCAACATCCCCCTCTGCACCTGGATTGCGAGAGGGTGCAGGCCAGGC